ATGGTGCAATCTTGGCTCAAAGCAACCTCCACCTCCTGGGTTCAAGTGATTCTCCTGCCTCAGCCTTCAGAGTAGCTGGCAGTACAGGCATGCACCACCACACTTGGCTAATTTTTTGTATTTTTAGCAGAGACGGGTTTTCACCATGTTGGCCAGGCTAGTCTAGAACTCCTGACTTTGTGATCCGCCCACCTCGGCCTCCCAAAGTGCTGGGATTACAGGCGTGAGCCACCACGCCTAGCCATGACAGGCATTTTCTAAATGACAAATTATTTCTCTTCTCTAACTACAGTCTTGTAAATATCATTTTATAAACAAGAACAATGACGCTCTAAGAAAAGCAACTTCATGAAATTACACACACAGTAAATGCCGGGATTTGGACATAGGCCTGTGACTATAGGGTTAGAATTTTCCCACTGCATATGGTGGGAGGTTAAGGCCAGGCGTGGTGGCTCACACCTGTAATCCCTGCACTTTGGGAGACCGAGACAGGTGGATCACCTGAGGTTAGGTTACTTTATCTACTTCAAACATGGTTGAAACCCCATCTCTACTAAACATACAAAATTAGCTGGGCGTGGTGGCGCATGCCTATAATCCCAGCTACTTGGGAGGCTGAGGCATGAGAATCACTTGAACCCAGGAAGCGGAGGTTGCAGTGAGTGAAGATCATGCCATTGCACTCCAGCCTGGGCAATGAAGGCAAAACCCCCTGTCAAAAAAAAAAAAAAAAAAGGTGGGAGGTTAAGAACCACTCTGTTTCTGCACCTGGAATTAACATAAACAGCAGATCAATCTGGAACCAACAAGTGCCAACAAGCCTAGAGGTACTAGGCCAGAGGCAAAAACTATCCTGTCAATGCTTTCCACAGAATAACTAAGCAAATAATAGCCACTTTTTAAAAATACAAGTGAAAATGCCTCTTAAGATGGGAAGGAATGGACTTTCTTACAACTTAGATTATCTACTTTATTGAACACAGATGTATCAATTAGAAAATCAGCACTGTTTTATAATACATACTAAAATAATATCTGGGCACATTAGAAAAACTAAGTCAACATACCCTCTCTCCAATTTGTACATTAGGAGAGAACAATTATTAAACTGAGTCTAACCCATTATTAAATTACAACTTATATTTAGAGTGGGCAAAGATCATCTAGATCTGTGTTGTCCATGTAACCACCAGCTACGTCCAGCTATTTAAAGTAACTAAAATTAAATAAAAAATTCAATTCCTCAAGTGCACTACTTGCTCGTCAAGTATTCAACAGTCACACATGGCCAATGGCTACCTCACTGGATAGCACAGAACACATCTATCATCACAGAAAGTTCAACTGGGCAATGATTAGCTTCTACATTTTCCATTTGACTTTTTTCAGAAGGGTCAGTGGAAAGAGCAACTCAGAAGACTAACGAGTTGAACAACCATGTATGCATCATTTTAATTTTTATTTATTTACGTATTTTTTTGAGACAGGGTCTCTTGCTGTTGCCCAGGCTGGAACACAGTGGTGCGATCAGGGCTCACTGAAGCCTCAACTTCCTGGGCTCAAGCAATCCTCTCATCTCAGCCTCTAAAGTAGCTGGGACTAGAGGTGTGCACACAACTGGCTCATTTTATTTTGTAGAGACAGGATCTCACTATACTGCCCAGGTGTATGCATCATTAAGCAGTGCTTCTCAAACTGAATGCGCACTGAATGACTTGAAAATCTTGTTAAAATCTTGTTAAAATCTTCCCAGCATGGTAGGAGGCCAGGAGTTTGAGAACAGCATGGGCAACACAGCGAGACTCCACTTCTAAAAAAAAAAAAAAAAAAAAGGCAGTGTATGATAGCACAAACCTGTATTCCAGCTACTGAGGTGAGAGGATTACTTGAGTCCAGGAGTTCCAGGTGACAGTGCGTTATGATCACACCACTATACTCCGATCCAAACTGGGCAACAGGGCAAGATTGTGCCTCTTATTTACAAAAAAAATGTAGATTCTAAGATTCTAACTCAGTAGGACTGAGATGAGGTCAAGATTCTAACTTCTAACAAGTTCGCAGGTGATGCTAATACTGTTGGTCCAGAAATCACACTTTCAGTACCAAGGTCTTAGATCTCTCCAGGCCTCAGTTTCCTTAACTGTCAAATGATGTACATGAATGAAGCAAGACAATGCCCATGACGCCTCCAAAACAGTAATATTTTAAGTTTTATGATTGCACAGAATTAAATGCATATAGATTTGCACTCTGCAGAGGCAGACTTTTCTGAGGTAAATGCTAGGATTCTAAAAACAAGTTTTATGATACCATTTTTTTTCTGTGAAAAAAATACCAAATTTAATGAAAATTAATGGGAAAATTTTATTTGCTACATAAGCATTCAATCTCTGAACAAGTTTTTAGAAATGGACTTAGAAGACTGACATGTATAAAAGACAAAACTTTTAGAACTCTATGGGCTGGGTGCAGTGGCTCACACCTGTAATCCCAGCACTTTGGGAGGCCCAGGCGGGTGGATCAGGAGGTCAAGAGAGAGAGACCATCCCGGCCAACATAATGAAACCCCGTCTCTACTAAAAATATATATATATACACAAAAATTAGCTGGGCATGGTGGCGTGTGCCTGAAGTCCCAGCTACTCAGGAGGCTGAAGCTGAAGAATCGCTTGAATGTGGGAGGCGGAGGTTGCAGTGAGCCAAGATGGCGCCACCGCGCTCCAGCTGGCGACAGAGTGAGACTCGTCTCAAAACAAAAAACAAAAAACAAACAAAAAAAAAACAACTCTATCAGAGAGCCACACAGTATTTTCCAAATAGGCAGTTCATGGAGATGAAAAAACCAGTGCTGGACTTGGCCCACATCACTGTCACCTTAAAAGCATCAGCTTCACATGAAAGCAACCCCTGGAAAATGCCATTAACTACAGTAACATTGGAGTTGTTTTCTTAAAGTCTCAGTCAAGGCTCTCAGCAATAAAAATGAGCAAAATTCCCATACCACAGGCAGGTTGTAGTGTAATGTAACAGCCCACAAAACAGGCTGAAGGAACTAATGAAGGCAGCCAACAATGCCACACAGAATTTACTTCTGAGGCATCTTCTTTCCATTTTAACGGGACCTAGAGTAACACAAGGTTCAAATGGTTCAAAAGTAACAAGGAATTGGATAGCAGTGGTGAGAAGGCTCAGCATTTCATAAAACAGTACCTTGGAAATAGGAAGCAAGCTAAGATATCCAGTGTTTTTTTGTTTGTTTGTTTTTTGGAGTCTCCCCTCAGCCTCCTAAAGTGCTGGGATTACAAACGTTAGCCACTGCCCTGGCTTCAGTTTGTTTTTAAACTCTGAATTATGCACACCACAGCTAATTACCTATATTTGAAAACAATGCTGGAAATGTGTTAAACCTCTAAGTAATGTGATGCTCTGAAAATTTTCAATACTTTGTATTTTTGTTTCCTTTACTAGAAAATTTTAAGTTTGAATTAAACTTTATTTAAAAATCCCTCTAGATATAAAGCATGCAATACTCTTCCAAAATAGTTTCAAAAATTTAATTCACATTAACAATACATTTTACGGGCCGGGAGCAGGGGCTCACGCCTGTAATCCCAACACTTTGGAAGGCTGAAGCAGGCAGATTGCTTGAGCCCAAGAGTTTAAGAACAGCCTGGGCAACATGGTGAAAACTCATCTCTACAAAAAATACAAAAACTAGCCAGGCATGGTCGCACACAGCTGTAGTCCCAGGGACTCAGGAGGCTGAGGTAGGAGGATCACCTGAGCCCAGGAAGTAGAGGTCAGCCTGGGTGACAGAGCAAGACCCTGTCTCACAAAAACAACAACAACAACAAACACTTTACTGTACAAAAACTCCCCAAATCCATTTGGAAAATTAACAGTATACACAGAAAAACTACAGGATGGGTGGGAAATTTTTCTTTTATTTTAAAAATTGAGACAGGGTTTTGTTATGTTGCCCATACTGGTCTTGAATCCCTGGCCTCAAGCGATCCTTCCACCTCAGTGGAATCCCAAAGTGCTGGGATTACAGGTGTGAGCCACCGCACCCAGCCCCTCTCTTAAACTGCCATTCTCAATCTTTTTCCCTGTCTCAATCTTATTTTAAGCCAACTTACTAAACATTGCCTGTTTTAAAATCAGTCAAAAGATGTATCTTATTACCAAGTTTCAACTTAAAGTTTTAAATTTGGAACTGTGCATTCAGCTTATCTTAAAAAAAAATGAAAAATAGTGCCTAATACCTATTTCAAATTGTCTTTATTAAAACAGAAAATTCACATAAATCACAAAGCACAACATATAATCATGTTTTAATAATTCCGTGAGAAACTTTCATATTCAGAGCCATATCCGATTAAATATTAAATATAAAGATAACTCACATAACCAATAAAAACATAAGGTCAATTTCTAACGACACCATAAAAGTACTATCTGTCCTTTATAAATAACCTGTAACAAATCTCTCTCAGCAGTAGCCAAAAACCTGCTAGTATCAAACATTTACTTTCAGCACCTGACCAGCAATTGGTTTTACCTTTCCTCTCAGCAAATGTTACACAATTCCACCTGTAGGGTATATGATATCCTTTTAAAATGCAATTTTAGAAGCCATTACTTTACAGAAACTGCTGCTCCTCTTCAGAAAAAAATGAGAGAGAATTTCAATGTGGACAGGAACATTTTAGCCTATCATTTAAAAAAAAATACAATTAAAAAAAAAAAAGCCACGTAGCAGTCCGTGGGCAGCATGAGTCATCATCCAACTCAAAACTTGCAGCAGCACTTGTAAGCTTCCTCCTACCCGACCCCATCCCCTTCAGCAAAGTACCCTGAGTCAGCAAACCTTACTATTTTGTCAGTTATGATTCTCACGATGCTTTAAATGAATTTATGTAAAGCACTGCAACACTTTTAGTGCTAACATTTGTCTTTAGAATGTGTGCATTTTTTAAATTGCAAAATTAACTTACTTCAGATCACTCTTCTCTGGATTTTTTAATCACAAAGTAGCCAACGACTACTTCTAATCCTCTTTTGCAAATAACTGAATTCCAAAATATCCTCATACACGAAGTTTTTCCTAAAATATTCTTCATTTTCCAGTGTTTTCTTCTGAACAGTAATACCTAGGTGATCAAATATGTTCTGCTCAAATCTGGCATATTTTCTAGATTAACTGCAATTACTGAATTCAGGACATCAATAAATAATTTGACAAGCTTAACAAGGCAATTCTTAATAAATGATGTAAAGACTTTACACTCCCTGGCACATAGCAAACACTTCATAAACATGTTTGAACAATTACTGTCTAAAGACAAAGTTTCTTTCACCCAATTCAAAATTATTTTTTAAAAATTAAAATCTGACATTTCTATGAAGAAATTCCTGATTTCAGGGCCAGGCCCTGTTTGGACCCTACATTCTTCTGGTCAGATCATTCTTTCCATCTCAGTTTTCCAAAGACAGAGGACATGCCCAATCGGAACTGTAAGAGACAGGCTAGAAGAATCAGCCATCAGAAAATTACTCTGAAGCTGCTTGCTCTTCATTGTACGGCATGTTAATTTTTCCCCTTGACAAATCATCTGTATCCGTTAAAATAAAAAAAAAAAAAGTCATTACTGAGACTGCATCTTTAGCAATGAACATGAATTACGCCGTTAATACAAATCGGCTTCTAATTCCAACTCACCAGTCCCTTTCACTGGACCTTTTCCAATGAACAAGCAAAAGAAAAAAATAAAACAGGAAAGGAATCGAGAAGCTCCTGCTGCACAGAGCTCCCCCGTAACACCTGAACCGGTTGGGTCCTACACTCGTCAATAAACAAAAGGTTGCCAAAACACCTTTACTTTTCGACACAACTCACAAGGCGGACTAAAATGCACAGCAAAGTGACAAAGCCCTTTCTGGTGAACCGACAAAACAAGCTTTCATTTGGGCACTTTCACAAACACCACTTAAGGTCCCGAAAGAAGCTAAAGCAAGACTGCAGGGCCGGGGGAGGAAATTAGGAATTTCGTCTCCGAGTTTTCAGTACCTCATTCATGGCTAGACTCAAAACTTGGGCGGACTTCAGGGCTCTGAGGCGAGCCGGGAGAGCGCTGCGCGCTACGCCACTGGAGACTTTGCCCGGCCGGAGTCAGCTGAGGCCGAGTCACCGGGTGGGACGGGGGAGGAGACGCGGGAGCATTTCGAAAGGCAGAGTGCCAGGAAGGCGAGACTCCACGCCACCTCATGTTCCCCGGGCCGCCGCCCCTCGCTCGCCCGCCCTCCGGTCCGGCTGGGTTTCGAACCCGCGGAGCCGGGCGCAGGTGGCGGGGCGGCAGCCGGCGTGCGGGGCCAGGGAATGGGCGCAGCCCGGCAGGGCGACCGGCGAGGGGCGTGCCGGGTGGGAGGGGCCCACTGGCCGCCTCGCCTGCCCCACGCGGGGACCCCGGCCCGCCGCCCGCCGGCCCGCGCGGGGACGCGCCGGCCAGGCCCGAGAGGGCGGGCAGGCGGGCGAGCAGGGGGCGGGCGGCAGACCAAACAAAAGCGCCTTTGTTGAGCGGCAGCCGCCGGAGGGTCACACACAATGGAGGAGGGAGCCGGCTCCGCCGCTGCCGGGCCCGCCGCGGCGCCCTCCCGAGCCGCCCCGCCGGCGCACCCCGCACACGTACACACACACACTCACGGGACTTCTCCGACTCATCGAGAGAGTGCGGGGCCCGCGGACAGCCCCCAGTGTCGGCTCAGGTCTCCGGCTGTGCTGGCAGCAGCGGCGTCTCCGAGGCTCTCGCTTTGCCGCAGTCGCCGCCATGTAACCCCGACCCGCGAGAGAGGGCGAGGGAGAGGGGGCGGGGCCTCGCCGTGCCACGCCCCCTCACGTCACAGGCTCACTCCACGGGTTCTCCCGCCCCCGCCCTGCCCAGCGCGCCCGCACGCGCCGGAATTTCCAGCGCCCGTGACTGGGCTGCGCGCGCCGCGGGGGCGGTGGGAAAAGCACGCGGCTAGTCCTGCGCCTCCGGGGGCTTTGCCTGCGGGCGGGCAAGAAGGAAGACAGCCGGGGCTGTCTCTGCTCCACTACCTGCCCCGGCATTAAGGGAACAAAGTGACCAAACCCAGTGCGAGCGTTTACTAAGCACCTACTACGTGCAGAGCACTGGGCAATCCGAGAGGAAGAGGCCTCAGTCTCCAGGAAGGCTGGACCTCAAGATGGATTAGGCTGGAAGGCGGCAGCCCGAGCACAAGGCAGACGCGTCCGAGGCCAAGTACTAAGGTCATTCATTCTGCCAGAGAGTATGGAGGAAGGCTTTTAGGAGAAGTCGCCACGGGTGGCCTTTCAGCTGGATCTTGGAGGAGCGGATGTAACCAGGAGGTGAAGGGGAGGGTGTTTCTGCCGAGGGAACAGTGTGAGCAAAGACTGGGAGGCCAGAGTACCTGCCTTGTTGCAGGAACTGGGATAGGAGAATTTGAATTTGAAAAGGGATGCACTGTGAAACGTAGAAAGGTGGATGGGTACCTTCTTGGGCCCACTTCTTGGCTAAAAGCAAACTTACATTACTTTTAATGGCTTATTGAGTCCAAGGAGCCTTTCCAGTGTTTATATGAAATTTAAGTATTTATGAAATTAGAGACGCAGGTCAGCATATTTTTTCAGTGACTTCATCACCATCTCAATGAGAACCATACAACAGCCCCTTAGCCATTTTTATGGGCATCTTCAAGAGTGAGGCAAAGACCACTTCAAAAAAATCACAAAGGGCCGGGCGTGGTTGGTACACGCCTGTAATCCTAGCACTTTGGGAGGCCCAGGCGGGCAGATCACCTGAGGCCAGGAGTTCGAGACCAGCACGGCCAACATGGTGAAAGCCCCGTCTCCACTAAAAATACAAAAACTAGCCAGGTGTGGTGGCTCACATCTGTACTCCCAGCTACTCGGGAGGCTGAGGCAGGAGAATCGCTTGAACCCCGCGGGCGCTTGCCGTTAGCTGAGATCGCGCTACTGCACTCCAGCCTGGGCGAAAGCGTGACACTCCGTCCCAAAAAAAAAAAAAAAAAAAAAAAATCACAGAGTAACGAAGTGGTTGGGGTGAGCTCGAATGCTTTCTATTTTTTAATATTTAAAACAACGTCAGCTGAGTACCAGGTGTGAAGAAGAGGTGATGAGTGAATAAAACCAAGAGAAAGGGGAGACTTATTGCAACCGCAGAATTTCCAACTTCTGCAACAAGAGCTCTTACCTTCAGCCCCACTGCCCCTGCTCTAGGCTCTCCTCTGATCCTCAGGACATTTTTCCTCTCACTGTTTGAGAACTCATTTACCTTCCTCTTCCGTCAATGTTTGATCACCCAGAGAAGGTGGGAGAATAAATACCAAGCACTGTGCCTTCCCTCAAGGAGCGTTTAATCCAGTGTCACTGCTGACTTCCGGTAAATAACCTGTGGATAATGCAAAGTTGGCTTACAATAGTAAGGGAGACCACTAAGTTGACAGAATCTTTGTACCTTTTCAAAAGGGGAGGTCAAGGATGGAATAATTACAAGATTTGAGGGATCTGGTTTTTGTTTGTTTGTTTTTGAGACAGAGCCTTGGTCTGTTGCCAGGCTGGAGTGCAGTGGCCCGATCTCGGCTCACTGCAACCTCGGCTCAAGCGATTCGCCTGCCTCAGCCTCCTAAGTAGCTGGGACTACAGGTGCGCGCCACCTCGCCCAGCTGATTTTTGTATTTTTAGTAGAGACGAGGTTTCATCATGTTGACCAGGATGGTCTCGATCTCCTGACCTGGTGATCCATCCGCCTCGCCCTTCCAAAGTGCTGGGATTACAGGCGTGAGCCACTACACCCAACCCAGGGATCTGGTTTAAGACTGATTTTTCAGTGACGGTTTCTGACTGGGTTTGGGACAAATTTGTGATATCATAGTTTAGGATGGGCGGGCAGAGGATGGGGAGAGTTTTGAAGAGAGCCTAAAGGGATAAATAGTTGTTAAACTCAGTAGAGCAGAGGGCTGTTTACCCTGATGAAGGCAAATTCTGTCAGTAACTTAATGAGATAAATGGATTTTAGGAAGTTCCTGAAACCACGATCAAGTTATTTGCAACTCCACCATTTTGGGCAAGAGTTTCTTGGAATTCAAGTTATATTTATTGCAGATAGTTGAATTGTAAAGTCATGTTAATGTAATTGGTTTTAGTTTTTTGGGTTTTTTTTTTTTTTTGAGATGGAATTTTGCTCTTGTCACCCAGGCTGGAGTGTAGTGGCATAATCTCGGCTCACTGCAACCTTCGCCTCCCAGGTCCAAGCGATTCTCCTGTCTCAGCCTCCTGAGTAGCTAGGATTACAGGCTTGTACCACACGCCCAGCTAATTTTAGTATTTTTAGTAGAGACGGGGTTTCACCATGTTAAGCAGGCTGGTCTCAAACTCCTGACCACCCGCCTTGGCCTCCCAAAGTGCTGGGATTACAGGAGTGAGCCACCGGGCCCGGCCAGTTTTAGTTTAGTTTTGGGGTTTTTTTTGTGCGATGGAATCTGGCTCTGTGGCCCAGGCTGGAGTGCAGTGGTAGGATCTCGGTTCACTGCAAGCTCTGCCTCCCAGGTTCAAGCTACTCTCCTGTCTCAGCCTTCCAGTAGCTGGGATTCCAGGTGGCGCCACCACACCCAGCTAATTTTTGCATTTTTATTAGAGAGGGAGTTTCACCATGTTGGCCAGGCTGGTCTTGAACTCCTGACCTCAAGTGATCCGCCCACCTCAGCCTCCCAAAGTGGTGGGATACAGGCGTGAGCCACTACACCCAGCCCAGTTTTAGTTCTTAATCCTATTCTAGGCGGTGGCTCACACCTGTAGTCCCAGCACTTTGGGAGGCCAAGATGGGTGGATCACCTGAGGTCAGGAGTTTGAGATCAGCCTAACCAACAGGGTAAAACCCCATCTCTACTAAAAAATACAAAAAAAATTAGCCAAGCATGGTGGCGTGCGCCACCCAGCTACTCAGGAGGTTGAGGCAGGAAAATCGCTTGAACCCAGGAGGTGGAGGCTGCAGTGAGCCGAGATCGCGCTACTGCACTCCTATCTAGGTGACAGAGCGAGACTCCCTCTCCAAAAAATAAATAAATAAATCCCATTCTGTAGCTATAAAAAGTTTCAATGCTTGGCCAGGTGCGGTGGCTCAGGCCTGTAATCCCAGCACTCTGGGAGGCCGAGGCAGGTGAATCACCTGAGGTTAGTAGTTCGGGACCAGCCTGACCAACATGGTGAAACCCTGTCTCTACTAAAAATACAAAAATTAGCTGGGCATAGGCCGGGTGCAGTGGCTCACACCTGTAATCCCAGCACTTTGGGAAGCCGAGGCGGGTGGATCACTGGATGTTAGGAGTTTGAGACCAGCCAGACCAACATGGTGAAATCCCCTCTCTACTAAAAATACAAAGTTAGCCAGGCGTGGTGGTGCACACCTGTAATCCCAGCTACTCAGGAGGCTGAGGCAGGAGAATTGCTTGAACCTGGGAGGCAGAGGTTGCAGTGAGCCGAGATCACACCATTGCACTCCAGCCTGGGTGAAAAGAGTGAAACTCTGTCTCAACAAAACAAAAAAAGTTTCAATTCTCAGCATTTTTTCAAACTGCAGATTATGATCCATTAGTGAGTAGTGAAATCATTTTAGTGGATTACAATTTGCATTTTGTCTTAATAGAGCAAAAAACAAAATAAGAGAGCTTGCCCAGAAGAAAGGGCAAACATTGCTTTGTGCAACTTTTGTCTTGATTGTGTAACACATTTCAACAGATCTGAAAATGTCATTCATTATGAAACATGCCATTATTTTATGTACTATTAAAGTGAAAACTCTATCAAAATATGATACCTTATTGCTACATCCTTTTTTGTTTTTTTATTGGTTTTTTTTTTTTTTTTTTTGAGAGAATCTCACTTTGTCACCCAGGCTGGAGTGCAGTGGTGTGATCATGGCTCACTGCAGCCTCAAGCTCTCGGGCTCAAGCAATCCTCTTGC